GTTTATTACTGTCTTTGTCACTAGCGAAGGGCAGGCGCCGATCCAAATGCTAGGCAGGTTTCGCTTAAACTTTCAAGCTTCTGTTTTTCGTGAAAAAGATGCTAATTATATGCTTTGGAATCCTATAGGTCATTCTGCCAGCTCCCGTCTAGCAAAGGTGGTGGAGGTTGGAGATCTAAACCATGATGAGGCCATCGAGTTTCTTTGCAATAAGAGAGATATCACCGAACCGGCTGCTCAGGAGATATATGGTCTTGTGGGGGGTCGTGTTGGGCTTTTGGTGTGCACCGCTAACGAACTCAATTCTGGACTGGACATTCCTGGTCTTTCTCCTACCTGATATCTGAAACAAACTCAAGTAATCTCTGACTAACTGATTGTGGCAGGGATTCGAGCATTACATCTTGCCGATATGAATAAAGTGTTGCAAAAGGCAGGGATGAAAGTGGAGGGGGAGTCTAGAAGAGCTGGCCTCCAGATTGCGAGCCATATCCTGCAACATGGCCGCATCAGTTGCAAGGACTTTTACCGGATTTCTGGGGGCGAAAAACAGGGCGACGAATTGCTGTCTAAAAACATATTTACCACAGTTCCTAGGTCTGAGTGGGTATTCTTCGATACGAAACCCATGGAAATCGCAGTCTGTGCGCTGGTCGAGAAATCTAGCGACAAAACCACTGCTGTTGCGTTTCTGGAGGCTAGGAAGTGAAGCGTTAGTTGCGGGAAACGGGGGTCCAATGTTATATAGTATTCTGGCTTCCATGAAAGAGCAATTCTTAGTGCTTTTTGTCGATAGTGAGGCGCATAGAATTCTAGGACTAGCTGATATCCATTGCTCAAATTAATGAAAAACACATACTTGTCAACCCAGGTACTATGTAGGCTCTTGAGGTGAATAAGCAAAACAGAGATCTTCTTTCCTTACCCAAGTCCCGTTATGTGATCGTGCCGTATATTGTTGCTATTAACCCGCCGTTCTCCGAAAAGGAGTCTTCCATCTCGTAATACGCCTAGAATTCCGGGATGGTCGGTCCTGGGTGGGTTCTTGGTACATTCCCATTTACTACGCAGGTGGGGCTTGAATGTATATCAACTTTCTATGCGGACAGGTGATAGGTGTTATACCAGCATTTGAGTGTTCTCTTGGCCCAAGAAATGAGTGATCATCGAATTAACCCTCGGAAAAGCCAGATGCGTCACAGGCGCTCACTCGGAATCTACAGCCAGTGGACTCAACTCCTCACACCAATGTACCCTCCCTGAGCTTCATAAGGCCTGACCTGACTCTGCACACCCACATGGGCCCATTACACCATTCCATATTCGGTCGCTTGTTTGTACAAAACATGCACAGCCGTTCTATTCACCCCACATCCTATTACACAACCGCCCTCACAATAGCGCACGTCAGTCAGACAAGTGGACGAGTGGGAATAGGCCGCAATCACGGACGATCACCCGGTATCATAACTAGCACCTATCCATTGTCGAAGACGTTTTGTGGCATGAATACATCAGGTAAAGGAGGGTGGATCTGTGGAGAGTGAAGGGAGGGGGGCTGTGGGATTGGAAAGAGGGGAACGCTATTGAGAGACGCTTCCATTGAATAGCTATATATGGCTAACTATCCCTTTCACGGGGGGGCTGGATATTGGCAGAGGCGAGGAACCTCTACGAAAGATATAATCTGGGAGGACAGGATCGCACATACAGTTGGATCCCAGAGGAAATCAAGCGGCCTGCAGAAGACGCACTCTACACTTGGATTGAAACGAGGTATCCGGAGTTCGCATCCCGAAGGTATGCAACCTGGAGAATGGCGAGAGTCTGGAAATCGTTAGCACGAAGAAGGGCTCGCAGGAGAAACAACGGTTTGCCCCTTTCGTGAATCGTTCCATTCTCTACCCATACTAAATGCTGCTCCCGCAGGACACGCCAATGGCAATCAGCCATGTGAGGAGCCGTGCGCGACTAGTCGCCAAGGTGATACCCCCTCAGGCAACCAGGTTTCCACCACTCCCGATGCACCACAGGGATCCTCGGCCAGGTCTAAAGGTATGTTTATGTCC